ATATATATATATATATATATATATACACACACACATCACACATACACAGACCAATCGGTGTGAAGGGCAGGGAGATGCAGGCGGATCAGCAGGACAATCCTCGGCTCAGACTTTCAGGAGTAAGAAAGTCTTTAAGCATTTAAACTACAAGCTGAAGTTTGGATAAATTCATGCAGCTCGGTGTTGCCGGGAGCTGAACCACATACAGCCTCACAGATTATAGCAGCAGTAACACAGTGACACACACAGCAGGGTGAAGTGGATTTACAACGTCTTTAAGACGGAACGTCGATGGTCCTGAAGACCTCTAACACAACACGAGCAGATAAAGAGAGGCGGGCTTAAAGTGAAACACCTGGAAATACAGGCAGATCGTCTGAGCGGCGCTCGATGGAGACGGGGGTTTGTACAACAGGCAGACCCAGCCCTCCCTCCCTCATCAGCTCACACTGATCTGAGCTCAACTCCATCCTCACAATCCAAAAACCCTCCTCATTAAATCTCTGCACGTCCGCTGGCTGCCCCTCGCCTCTCATCCCTTCAGCAAACACGGACACAGCAGGTGTTTTCAGAAAAATCCTCCATTTAAAGCACCTCAGCTCATCCAGTCAGAAATCACTGAACCCACTGCGACACATTCAGACCCGGCACAGCTGTCAGCTTCTGTCACGTCTGCTTCAAACGCCAGGCACTTCTTCTTCGCTGGTGTTTTTCTTACAGCCTCGTTGACCTTTTCCTTCTAACAGCTGCTCGTCCGTTTCCCTTTCACCTGCGGGGCTTCTGCTACCGACCTGACCAACCACACCATCCGAACCCGGGGATCACAGCCAGCTGAAGGCGCCACCAGACCCCCGATGCCCCTCTCAGGTTAGGGCAGTGAGAGAATTCAGACAGAGGGGGTCAGAGTTAGCGTGGCAGTGAAACCAGATGATCAGGGTTAACCCTGTGATGACCACAACCCCCCTCAGCCTGTGCTGGGGAGGAAAGCAAAGGCCAGGATGTGTTTTTCATGCACTGAACGTTTTCTTTTTTTTATTTAGCAGCGATTCAATCAAAACCAGCCCAGAGGGAGCTCAGTGATCACCTCTGTTTCACAACCCAGCAACACACACACACACACACACACACACACA